AATGCCGGATTATCTGTAGTTTTTTCCCCCCAATCGATAGCTTGAGAAGCTCATAAACCAAAGCTCAGGAGGTGCCTCAAATTGGTTTTTTTGCGAATTGCCTAGGATGCATCAATTTACAAGTATGATTTATTATCACTGTGATTGCTTATTAGAGTGATTATTTTGATGAATTTCATTCAAGCAGTATCAGCGTGATAGCAGTATTTATCTTTTTTTCGCTTTGTATCCCTTTTTGTAGCCACAGGCGGAACCAGGGGCGGAAAGGGGGAGGGAGGAGGGTCTTTCGGATCTAAAGCTAAAACTAAGATAAGCTAAAGCCTAAAGTAACTCTAGGTAACAATGTTACAAAACTATTTTCCTAGTTTTTGCATAGTTCCAGGATGAGGGGGACTCTCCTCCCTACCCCCACCCCCGCCGTCTCGCTCCAGGAGTTCCACTCTCTCCCACCTCCCGGCACCCTGCCTTCCCCCTCTCCTTCCCCAAAGGCCCGTCCTGGATCCGCCTATATTTGTAACCCTCGACTGTCACTGAGAGCAGAAGAGGAGGAGAAGCCCCAGCGATTTTTCACACATTCTGAAAAAGCGAGGTGCAAATGTGATGAACAATCTGAATGCTTGCAGCTAACCGCAGGGAGAAATGGGCGGAACACCCATGTCCAGTGTTTATCCTCAAAAGAGGATCATTGTATGGAGAGGTTGAATTAACGAGGTCCGAAGGCGGAGCTGCGCATCATCATCATCCAGTGGGGTGGCTCTGGGAGGATTGGATGAGGGGCGGAGGGCGTTGTGGTTTCCAGACTCCTCCCTATTTAAGCTTTTTGTGGGCCGTTTCCTGTTCTTCAGTTCTTTTGCGTGCGTGGCGTGTGTGTGTGTGTTGATAATAGACTTGAGAATTATGATTATGATGGTGTGCGGTGGCTGTGATGCTAATTCGCTGCTTATCGTCTCCCTTCTACTTATCACCACCACCGTCACGCTTTCTTCAGCCCTCGATTACGGTCAGTTCATGGTAAGTGGCTTTTTTTCAGTTAAAAAAAAAGGTCAAAACCCCTTGTGCAACATGTTACAGACATAGGCGAGTCCAGGGGGAGGTTTTTTGTCCCTCTTCCTCAGCTGCAAAGGTGCCAGTGCTGCAAAAGCCCGGGTCTAAAGCTAAAACTAAAGTGAACTTAAGCCTAAATTACTCTTAGTAGCAGTGTTACAACGCTTTTCCTTGTTTTTGCATAGTTCCAGAGCGGGAGGGGGCTCTTTTCTCCACCTCTCCCCCCCCTCCCCCCGTCCGTCCCGCCCTCCTCCCCTCCGACGAGACCGTCCTGAATCCGCATTTGGCGACAGGTGCCTTACTGAGATATAAGAAATTTTTTGGTGGTGCGAGAAATGTGATAACTTTTTTTACAATACCGAGTACCATGAGTATGAGCTGTGGCTCACACTTGGCAGAAGTGGCCGACTAAGGCTGATCTAGTATGTATGATGAGGTGTTGAGGCAGTAAATGCTTGTGCCCGTGAGAAAAGAGCGGTTTTCCATAGGCATTGTCTTATAGGCCATTTTTTTGCGGTGAAGAATAGGCAGACTTCTCGCCCTATCTTTTCTGGCCACTTCTTTATCGTGTAAAATCTCCAACAATGCTACTGAGGGTGTTACCGCGCAACCCTGATGTTGCTTAGGTATATTTACCCGTTGGATCTAGCTTTACCAGGCTGGGATGTCCTAAGATTGCATATTTTCTTCCACACAGTTTACATCGTGTAAAAAGTGGAGGGGGGTGGGGGGAAGGGAAGATTTAAGAAATCTGATAAATAGCAGGTAAACTATATAGAAATTTTACGTCTTCCCACAGGATTTAGCCAGGATTTGCACCAAAAACAAGATATTATCTATGAACTAAGAATTTCTGATGGGAAGTTAGATTACCTTCAATGCGCAGTATTTTGTTGAGCAACGTGACTCGTACGTCATTTCACTGTTCTGTACGTAGAGTAAATTTTTATGTGTCAGTACGTTTATATATGTATCCCGTAATTTCTAGTCTTTCTTCAGTTATCGTTTGTTGTGGATCCCTACTCCCTGCTTTTTTTTCCTGTAAATACAAATAGCTTTCTTGGAATAGCGCTAATTTGTGCGCTACATGTGAGACCGGAGAGCTTGTGCTCAAAAATGTTGGCTTCTTTTTTCAGTGTACAGTTACTGATTTATTATCACAACTATTCGTATCAGTATTATCACTACTGTTTAGGGGTTAATATACTATTCTGCTTCAGTATTATCATGGCACAGTGGAAAATAACACTGTTTTCATGTGCAATAATAGGTCGATGGTTTGAGTTCACTGGTGAGGTAACCAATCCCTCTACGATTCGTTCAATATTTTTGATAATAAATTGGTACAAGATATACCAGAGAATCAATTCCGCCATCAGCTTGCTTATAAGAAATCTCGAAAGAGGGAACCGTCGACAGTCTTACCAGCGAGTGGTTGCTGTTGGCATTTGCTACTACTCGGACTCTTACTGAATGCCTAGGCTCTTCAGAATGAGCGATTGATTACAGAGGTGGTTTTTATTATAAGGACAACAAAAGCGATTAAGGATGCTAAAAGCCCACGTCGTTTGGGCTTAGGTGGGTGATGATTGAGATGTTCGCATTTATTGCGATCTCTTTCTTGAGCAGGCCTTTGTCTGCTGGCCGATTATGCTGGCAGTACATTGAAATTAAATTTTAGCAAATGCAGTAACGAGAAAAGAATAAAAACCCCATCCATTAAAACTGGTCGAGAACGGTGGAGGGAGGAGGAGGAGGAGGGGCGAGCTGTGAGGGAAAATTTGAAATGCAGCGGATTCAAGATTTTGCAGAAATTTTTTTTCCGTTAAGACATTGGAAGCAACGTGAGAAGCATGCCTGCAATTGATTTTTTCCCCGATAATTGGACAAAATCAAATATTCATTCTGTTACTTTTAAATACCTTATTTTTGAAATAAGAAAAAAAGAGCAGACAAATGGCTTCTGCAATTAGCTAACACAACTCCTTTGGCCAACTGAG